GGGACAACTATAACGCTTGGCGATAATAAAATTTATTACGATCTACGTTTGATTTGTAGATTGAAGTTGCATTAAACGAAGGACCTAACAAAACGAGTAAATATAAAAACTGCATGTTAATCCGCGGCGGAATCGGCTCATTAAATCTTCCACCGTTTCATTTCCCGCTTGTAAATATTTCAGCAAGCGGTATAGCTTCAACCATCCGAATTTAATAAGCATCTCGCTTTTAAACGCAACAATATTTCAATGTTTCAGTTAATCACTAAACTTAATTTATACAACCATCCCTCCAGCATTTCGTTATCCGTAACCAACCTGGTTTCCGGCCAACGAAGCGTACTTTTAACTCTGATACGAGAACCATTGATACACTCTACGTATTTATGCAAAATTATACTGTGAAGAACGTAAAAATAAATCTTCGATTTAGTGTTATATTTACTAAATTACGACACCGTTCAGAGGTCTTCAAAACTACTCTTTTATCGAGATTGCAGATATTTATGAAGATTCATATCTTTACAACTAAAGATATTCTACATAAACGTTCCACGTCAGATCTTTTTATTTAAATTACTTTAAATCCATGCAGTTTCGAGGCAAAATATAATAATAACCACCCTAAGATTTTTTAAAAGGGGTGTGCATCCACTGTAACTTCAATCTAGACGAAAAGCTTGATACTTTCTATGACACGGTAATCCCAGAACAGGATTTTCTCATCCTCTCGTCTTTCTCTCTCTTTCTCTTTGAACCATCCTGAGGGAAACCGGCAAGGAACATTAAAGCTGTTTTCACATTGTCGTTCGTGGAGGAACTCTCCGCCCGAGTACTTGCCATGGTAATCAACTGGAAGCCACTGGCTGGGTCCATTCCAGATTGCCCCTCGTTCAATTAGCATACATACGATGGCTACGCTCGCTTTCGGTCGCCTGCTGGCCCTTCGACCTATTTTCTTCTGAAACAGAAGTATCCCCCGCGCGTTAATTGATTTGACGTGTGTTCTTCTCCCTGTTCTTCGTGCAACGCGTTGTGTGTTTGGATTAATTTGGATTAAGCTTCCGAGCCAACTTCGTTGGTTCAATCCGAAGTTTCGAGTATCTTAAAACCTGAACACTTTCGACTATTTTGAAAATTCGTTCAACTTCTTCGTTGAATTGATAGACAGCAATATTTGCAAATGATTCGCAAGTTATATCGATTAGTTAGATAAACATAGTATAATCATCTATAAAAATTTTCGTACACTTTATAAAAAGACAATTTTCATTTAAGAAAATAACAACAAGGAAGAAAGGTAGATTATTTGAAATCCCTAAAAATATATGCATATGATACATATAGGAAGATTTACGCAGTTTTCGCTTTAGTTGTACACTTTTACTTTTAAAGACAGCCTTTCAGAATGTTTCTTGATACACGTCAAGGTGTCTGTATAAAAAGACACATTAATACAAGAATCGCAATTTTCTAAGTGTCCGACCATTTCGACGAACTTCGCCTGCGTATTCGCCAGAAGCTTGTGCTTTTGTCAGACGAAATATAGCAAACTGTTCCGCCATTCCTAGTCGAAGTTTTCATACTTTCACGAGCCATTGGGACCATTCGTTGGTTCTTCTAGAATTTCAAAAAGTTTCGCTGTCTACCATGGTAAAATAACAGTCAGAAACAAAGAAGAAACGTCTGTCGATGGCTTTTAGCGAACCTCTGGTTAACTGAACTATCGGAGTTACATAGTAATTTCCATTTGCCATTGTTACCAGGCGAATAAGATTTTCAGTGATTCACCGTTTATCGTTTGTATACGAGGTGTGGCATGCAAAAGTAAGACAAAAATATAGGATGTAATTCTTTCATTCGATGTCCCGTTTCGGAGAATATTAGGTTTGAGAAGTTATTTCACCAACTTGGTTAGTTCCAGATTGGAGACAAGTGGATAATCGACAGGAGATTATTTTATAGACGAAAATAAGTAAAAAATGGAATTGAACTTTTTTCGTTTGAAGCTTCGTTCTAGTGAAAATCGAGTTCGTATTTGACGAATGTTCAAACTAGATTTTGTCGAAAATCTAGCTTTACATGAAAAATTCGTATTCTACATTTTTAACTTATTTTTGTAGGACAATCTTTTGCCAATTATTCATTCGTATCTCGTTAAAAGTCCATAAATTCCAAATTCATATGCTTGATATCATATGTTTGATAAACATTCGAACTTGATTTTCTCGGAAAAGCGATTCAAAGTTAAAAAGAAAGCTACTCTCTTCGTGTTTCGTACACAGAATAACTTTTGCACGGGTACTTTGCTCTGTAACACTTTGAAAAGTACAATACGCAGTTGAACGCGATTTTAAAATTAAAAAAAGAAAAGGCGATACAAAATATATCGATATGACAATCTCATTATACAGATTTCCTGTAAAGTACGGTTTGCCTCGGCGGAAATTCGCTAATCGTTTTAAATAGCCCATTATTGATAATTTGGATTCGATGCTGCCCCCAATAATTCCACGATACGCGTTTAACATTTTAAATCGCTGCGTTACAACACACTTCGCGTCACTGATAAATTCCCTCGAATGCCCCATTCGATTGTTTCACAAACCCCCGGTGTTTATCCCATCGCGACCATAGAACATCCTCTTGCGACAAAAACGAGAGATTGCGGATGAAAGCAAAATGATCTCATACGTGTACGTATATCTTCGAATTAACTTGGAAAGCCTACGTAAATTATTTCACGATTTTTATTGTATTTATTCGTTCATAATTTGCCCTTAATATGATTTCTCAATATGAGATTTTCCGGATTAAATTCTAAAATGTTACGAACTCTTCGCTGAAGTGAAATCTCACGCATGTTTCTCTTTGTGCATTTGGGACTGAAATTAAAAGTTAAGTGTGTAATTTACAGATGATTTAATTGATATAACTCGTCCATACGTCTGTACGTGTATACATATATCTCAAATGTAGTTTAACCTGTTCTTATCTATGATGAATAACAGTGGAAACGTTGACAGAAGATTGTAAAGCACGAACGATCTTTATAGGGCAATAGACAAGTAGTAGGAGGCGTGTATTCGCCCAACCCGATTAAATTTCGTGTAAATTTCAGACTGATCCGTGTACCCGTGTCGTATTTCATAACTCGTTGCCCGTACACAGTTCTCGTTCCTTTAATTTCCGCCTTCCTGCTTGGCCCCGGTACGATATATTCGCAGTTACCTCGCACCACAGCAAATTCATCTGGCGGCAATTACGAAACGATCTCTAGCAACCGATAAACCTTTCGCTGCAAGCCGAGCCTTGCATGCGTTCGGCTTAATGTAATTGAACCACGAATGAGACGATCATAGAATAAAATAAAAGGAAAGTCGAGGAACAAGTAATATCATGTTTATTGTGCAGATCACGTTCGACCGATCGAGCATCGTGAAACATTCAGAAGGACAAGCTTAAAATTTCTCCGACCATCTTGCAAAGTAGTTGTTCCAACCACTTGTGTTTCGTATGTGTACAAGAATTAAATATTTTTTTAGCTTTGTTATTTCAAGGTCCTGTTGCTATACGCACAAATGTACAGAGTATTTTTTTTTTTTCTTTTTTTTTGGCACTTTAGAAATTCGTACAGAAAACTAGCCACGATTTTCCAGGATTCTCTTTCAGTATCATCGGCCAAGAGCCAACCACAGGGAGGAAGGAATGGTTTCCGTTCCCTCGGTTCATTGCCGAACATTTTTTCCGAAAGATCCATGTGCGGTCAGAAACATTCCTCCAGATAGGACCGGCGGCCTTCAAGGAATGTCTTTTTTTATGCTGCTCCAGCTGGCAGAGGATCGCTTCTTCGAGATTCCTTCCGGTTCCGATAAGCCGAAAGACTGATGAAGCTTCGAAAACCAAGAACAGATTCACCACTGTGCGATGGGAAGCTTCGTAGATTCTACTAGTATGTTTTGCTCCATCTAAGATTGACAGAACCATTAGTACGTCGAAAGAATCCTTTCTTGCAAAATTGTTGATGGTTTTGTTAAAATGATTCGTGAATTTTTAACTCTGTATGGATAATTATAATAATTCTCGGAGGACTTTGTTCTTTTCATATTTACAAAACAAAGAAAAATTTCGTAATAATTCTACTTGCAGAAAACTCCTCAATAATCGTTGGTAATATAATAACATAATCAATATTCATTGGCTTGTTTCGTTGAAAGCTCGATAAGCTACTGGTCTTAAGAAGACTGGAAAACAGTTAACGAAAAGATCGTCGTCCTAATTTGTACGTAGCATAAGAGTCGATTCTTATTAATTGCTGTAAAGAACGAATATTCATTGACTCGTAGGATTAATGATACCTCGTTGAGGGATAAAGTTGTTTGGTCCGCGTGGCTGGTGTCTTAAAGGCTAAAGGGGAGCACGCCACGCGTTAAATGGACGACGGAAGAAGATGGAGGATGATGGATAGAAGTAGAAGCCTCGACGCTAAGGTGTTTCGTCCCGGTGATAAATAGCGGTGCAATAAAAGTGGGCCGAGTAATTCGGATGCCACGTTATCCGATCGTTGCGTTAAGGGAATAATAACCTGACTGGGGTTGCACGATGGAAAATGGAAGTAGTGGCTTTGCAGCTTCGCAGAATTTCTTTTCGATATAGCTCGGTTCACGAAGAGAAAGACAGGAGAATAACAAATAGAGAGACTGGAAAATTCTCTTCGATCGTTAAACGATTACTAACGATACTGTGGAGATCTTATTTCTCCTAGGGAATTTTAAAACAGGTTTTAGATAATAATATACTAATTTGATCCGTTATTAGAGAATTCCAATAAACAGACAAGATAAGACAAAACAATTCTGTTATATAAAATCACTGAACAGCACGAAATAAGCTTCGGTTCTCGATTCCATACAACGACTATACACAAACACGCTTCCTACGATATACATTAACCGAGAAATTTATTGCGCGTATATCTTACCATTATCTCCAATTTTCAGATAACCAAAGCATCGTGTATATAATGCCGATCAATCGAATACCACGCAAAACGACGTTCTCTGCACGGTACTAGTAAAATTGCTCGTTACAACGATGATGGAACGACAGTCTCAACAGAGAGAAAAGGAAGTCGATGGAAGAAGAATCGGTGTGGGACTGGTGGACAGGATGAAGGGAGGAGCTACAAAAGGCTGGATATCATAAACGACAATGAAACTCCCGAAGGAAGCTGGAACAAAGCGAGATAGTGGCGGTGTATACGTGTGCAACTTTGAAAGGACAGTGACGACGTACAGTGTGGACGTTGGATCGAGGAAGGGAAGAAGGAAAGAAAGAAAGGGGCAGAACGACACGCCGGGGATCGCTCGAGTTTCTCTGATCGGTCAATAACGATTTCCCGGGAATATAAATGTCTCCGCGAGCAGTCGTCCGGGCTGTTCGATTCGGCCCGTGTCCGGCATTGCCTTTTAATCTTGTAGCTTTGCCTCTTTTAATCTCGTTCCATCGACCGGCTGCGCCCTTCCATGCCGCTCTTTTCCGTCCACTCGTTCATTCGATGCAATTTCTCGTTTCGTACGTACGGTCGAAATCATCGCTCATTCGACTGTACGAAAAAACCTGCTGGTTGCATGAGAATCGTTAATCTTGACGGATGAACCGAAGATGGAACATCGTTTCGTGTAACGATTGGAAAATAGTAATTATTCCATGTATAATTGCGTCTTATTTCTGTTTATCAAATTAATTTCATTGGTCGTTTTTAAATTGAAAACCTGTTTCAGACATAGAAAATTCAAGAACAGTTTAAACATAAGAAGAATCCTCAATTCCTGTACTACTGTACCATTTTCGATAGGATCGCGACAAAATTCCAATTGCCTCTCACATTCTCGCCATCGATATCCTATCAAACTTCTACAGCTCTAAACGCACACCAAACTACTGAAACAAAAATACAAATAATACATTTACCAACATTTTCTTCGGTCTCCTCTTATTAACGGAGAACGGATTCGTCAGCCAGATGAGATCTTCAACGCAAGAGAGTTCGATTCTGATCAGAAAACTTCAATACCCGGAACGATTCTTTGCTTTAGCCGAAAAAGAAACTGTTCTCGGTGAGTGAAACCGTACCTTAAAGTACACGTATTCATATGTAACTTCGAATCTTCTTCAATTTTTCCGATGATATACCTCTAAACGCCTTGAAACGATACTATGCGCAAAGCTTCTTCCGGTTCTTCCTCGAGCTATCTTTTACAGGCTTCGAAACGATGTATCAGTAAAGAGAAAGATTGCAGGGAAGATTTGGAAGAGTAGGTTCGTCTCGGGGCACACTGAATTTCCTCGAGGGAGAAATTGTTGCAGGCAGCAGCCTCGACGGTGCTTTCATCAGCGACAGATTTTTCTCATCGAACGCTAAACTTGCGGGGCGAGGTGTGACGCGCGTGCGAGAGTCTGTAAAGCTCGCTTTTGTCACTTTCCCTGGCTCGTGCATCGAAAATCCACGCCCTTTGACGCCTCTGGAAAGTTGCTGCCGACAGCGATCAGGTTTGACGGGCAATCGACACCGATAATCAAAGGTTCGTTCTTTTTTCCTTTGCCACTGAACAATTTTTACGTAGAACGCAAAAATTCAATTACACCACCTGGACCACTCAAGCTTGCAACATTTTTCTTTTTTCTTCCGCTTTTTTTTCTCTGCGCGTTTAGAAGTAACTTAAACAGCCAAGAACCATTCTACCACTTACGACGCAGCACTATTGTTAGAAAAATGAAGTTTCTGTACGCGCAGCTTACTCGATAACCGCAATTTATGCTTTATTATAAGCAAAAAAATAGAAAATGGACGGAAGGGGTGAAAATACAGAATTTTGAATTTTAGAGTAATCCGCGATGATCGGAACACGGATAAAAGTTCGATATCGCAAATATAGAAAAGAGAAACATTCGTATCGGGACTGAAAACGCAACGTCCATTGTTCCCCTATATTTTCGGTTATTTAAGCTTATCATTGGCCCGACGATTCCGTGGGATCATGGGAGATGGATCAGGATATTTAGAGTGGCGCATCAATCTCGCATCGAGCTCCCAAATGGCCGTTCGGTTGCTCGCAAATCCACGTCGTTTCACCGGCCGGTGCATTAAACAGGATTTATATTTCCTCGAATAGGAGCCGATGGGATCGATCGGTATTGTCGACTGAAAGTAGCGCCATTTTGCATCTTATTTAAGGGAACCGTGCACATGTGAGCAATTCGCGATTCAGTAAAAAGAATCACCTCTATACATTTTCAAATTGGTTCCAAATTTTATCAGTACAATTACGACAGCCGTGTCTCATTACAGCGCGAACAAAAGTTCAAAATGTTTTGTATAATATATACAATACAAGCATAAAGATTTTTCATGATAAGTATTCAAATATTTTCGTGAACCAATGTATCCACCACATTATAAAAAATTCTACTGTACTCTGTTTAAGGCATTGAGTTTACGATATTTCCATTTTTGTGTGTCTTCGTCCCATTAAGTTTCGATTTTATGAATTCTTCGTTGGTTATTACGGTTTGCACCGCACCTCGCATGTAGATCTACGATATTCTGGTTGAGTTTACTGGTGCCGGTGCAAGGGATCGGCATCCGTATACCGGGAACGATAATCTCAGAGGGTGAAACCAAGTCTTGTAAATCCGTGGAATAACACGATGTCTGGTTGTGTCGTTGCGTTGAGGAGGGTCACAGGATTTTCTACGGATAAAGGATATACACTGGGTTAGATTACGCCTGCGAAAGCGTTAAAGCGATTAAAAGATAGGACTCTGAATGGGAATTTAAAAATCAAACGGTTCGGTTGAAGAATATTCATTAAAAATTCATTCCATTCAGCTCTCAAAACGCAAATAACTTATTTCCACTTATCTTAAAGACGTTATTTATTACAAGAAGATGGCGCAGACATTGCTAAATTTTCGGACAAACTTTTAGAAACACTATTTGTAACATTACTTTTCTCCCCTTTTTCACTCGATGTAACCTTTAAAATCTCTATAATCTTTAAATTCTGTTCGACGAAATAGCGAAATTTCAATCGTGAATTCAGCCACGAAAGAATTCGCGGAAAACGAGCGGAGAATCCGAGACACGCGGTGAAGCAGCGACAGAAAGTCGACTCTCGATTAGGAGGACAGGCGACGATCGAGTGAGATCCCGTCCGTCAGAGTGGTTCTCAGTGGAGAATCGAGCGACTTGGCGTGGCTCTTGACAATATCTACGGCAAGAAGGAAACCGACGAAAGGGTTCGGTGGATCGTGGTAACAGTCGGTCGGGTCGCATAAATCAGCTGCACGAGACCCTCGAGCGGCAGAGGTGTCGGGGCCGGCAGGCCG